CGTGGAACCTCGCGTTCGCTGTCGCATCTGCCGTTGTGCTTGCCGTCACCGTGACGGAGAGGCCCAACGTTCCTGTTAGGGTTTGGGTTGCGGGGTACGCGGTGCAGTGTGGGGTCCACGTGGCGCTAGTTTGGACGGAGTATCGTCGGCGGAGGAGTAGGAGGAGGGAAGGGGATCGGGAAAGAGGGGATTCGGATGGGGTTGATAGCGAGGAGGATGGAGATGATGGGGGAGTTCAATCGAATGCTCGTTCGAGGTAAATTCTAGGGTTAGGGTTTCTGCAATTGTTAATTTGTGAATGTTTGAAATCTTCATATCCAGGGTTTATTGAGACCTACAACCCCTTATTACTGCGATCTGGATGTTCATATCTTCAACTAAAATCAACAAGAAATGTTGGGCAAGTCCTGGATAGGCCCCCTGTACTATTGCCAAATGGAACTTACTACCCCAAAAGTTCTGTTGTTGCAGATACACACGTGAAAGAGTTCTATTGTTGCAGATACATTTCCTGAGTGAAAATCTCTTGTTGCAGATAGGCGCCTTGAAAAGGGTTATAAAAGTTTCATTCGGGGGGTCGATCTGCAACAAGAGAATTACAGGGGTGCTAAGTGTAATTTAGCGGTAACACGGGGCTTTTATCCGCAATTCATCATGCCATTTCTCCTTTTCTGTCCTTCTAGGGAACAAATCTATCCTAGTCTCCTAGAGAAGCTCGAGAGACATTTTCATTGTGTCATAGTTCTTACTCGCCCGTCCTTTATGTAATCACTATGCTTCTCTGTTGTTTTTGTTATGTGAGCAACTCATCCTAACTCCCTATTGTATTGCATTTTCCAAGTTTGTTTTTCACCCTTTTCCCTCACACTTTCTAAAATAAGACAAGGAAGAAGACAGTTGATCCCCAAACACAACTCTTGATACTCAAGACTCTTTGACTAGGCCATCGGTTAACAATTTGAACATTGATGATGCAAAACTATTTATCTTTTCTATTAAATTGTAAGAACTCCATTTGAATGCTTAGGATATATAATGAAACATGGATTAATAACAAAATTATGTATTAACATTACCTAGTATGATAGTGCTTGATGTGCCCTAGGAGCAATACAATAGAAACAAACTACCGACAAATGTTTAGGAAATAAAAATTTAATTGATCTTAGCTTATGATTGTTGCATCATTTGTATCGGAAAGATGTGTTTGAGCTTGGACTAACTTATAATGTATGTTTGTATTATCTGCCTGATGCATGTAATAACATTGTTACAGTTGTTTAGGACATCAATTCTAGGAACAATATAGTGAAAAAAAAATCTCCATAACTAATGGCGTATGTACGCCAAAATATTCATAAGTCAGTCAAATCTAAGCATCATGTTCAGTTAACACAGGAAAATGGTTCAGTTTGGTATTGAAAAATACTATCTCGTACTTGGAAGTTCTGTATCATCACTCATCTCATAAGCATACTAAGTTGCCTGTACATAGTTTGAGAAATTGACATATAAATACAGCCTTAGAGATTTTGGTTAGTTTGAAGAGCCATTATGCGTGCGTGCTTGCATGCGTCCTCTGTCTTCTACTCATCATACTTTCATCATTGGTAGTATAATCTGCTTTCTTCGCAGAAACTGGCTCCTTCGTCATTTCCTCATCATTGCTGTTGGACTTGTCCCCTTCCTGCTATTATTTCGACAAAAGTTAGCTAGGTGTAGTATGCTGATATGACCCAACTTGCTCATATTCCTAGATAAGTTATTTATCAGATTATTAGAATCATAATTGTAAGATTTGTCGAGCTCTGGTTTTTAGACCTTGGTGGTTGTATTACTTCCCTTGTACTAGCAATTCTTGGTGCTTCTAATTTTGTTCTTTGTGTTGCTTTCTTTGGTTATCTTTTTCCTTGTAGTGGAGATAAACTATTAATTACATGTTAGACAAATATTTGAAGGTTGGATAGTTGGATACGTTTCATAGTATCTTCGCCATTGCCACCGGACTCCCCCTTCAAACAAATGCATATAACATATTCATTAATTTTCCAATTATGTAAACTTCAACAAAACAACACAGATTGAAACCTCCCTAACAATAACCCCACTGAAATATGCAAAACAAAGATAATTTATAAACAAGATTACTTTCTGGACATACTATTTCTAAAACATGAGGTCAACATTTAAAGTGACTTTGCAAGAGCTGTCATCATAGCAAGCGGGCACCACCATCTCATTACCTCATTGGAGTTTTATAAGTGACATGGTCTGATGTTTCCAACTATTGAAGAATAAAAATATTATGAAATAAACTTATAAAGTTATATGGCACTGACACGCAAAATAATTGTTTGGCTTGAGACATTTGTTAGAATGTTTGACAGTTCAACCACTACTTTAAATAGTTCGTTTTGTGGGTTCTTAATGCATGGGTAGGAAAACAAGAAATGTCACATTTTGTGGGTGCTTAATGCATGGGCAGGAAAACAGGATACGTCATATTTTTTCTTTTGAGGACTATCCAAACACAATTCTCTGATACCAAAATCAACACCTTTTATTCCTTTTTGTTTTCCCTCCTTCAATTGCCTTTTTTTCTTTTTATCCTTCTTTCGTTTTTTTGTTTTTTTTATCATCTAGTAAATTTGTCATTCTAGCAGATTGTTTTCCTAAGTGCTTCTAGAAGGCGGTTCATTTGCACCTCCTTTTTTCCCATTGTTATGAAGTAATTGATCTTTGATGTCTTCCTTTGCATTTTGCTCATTGCGCTCTTTCTCAGCAATCACACTGTCAATATTTGCAAGCCTACCATTCAAATTAAGAACAAGATTTTCTCCTGGTCTGACTTACTGAATTTCTTTCTAGTTGTAGAATCTCGGCTTCTAATATCTCATCTTGGAAGATTAGATATAAAATCTTTGTTCTCTGAATAATTATCAGGCCAAGTGACTCATTATGACCAAAACATCCAATATGAGATTTACATATGAAATTGTCTTAATGAATCATGTCTTTCCTACATAAAAGATTTCATGATTTTCATCCATAAAAAAGAGGGACATTTTTTTATCATATAAGCAAAAACAAGCATTTTGCTCACCATTGATCTATTTTTGTGTTTGCATTTTGCTCACCAACCTTTCTGTACAATTGATCTCTTTCTGTGTCAGTTTGGAGCACGAGACTTTCGTCGCTTGATATTAATAGTGTTGCTGACTGCAGCTCTGATGACATCAGTAAATGCACTATGGTCATAACATTAGTAAATGCACTTTGGTACACAATAATATAATTATACTAGTTAGCTAGAGAGGATACCGCAAGCTAGCTGGAACCATAAGAAACATGTAAAGATGTGCAAACGTGAGACTGGTTCAGCGTAATGAATATACACAGAGAAATTGGACAAGGTAACAACAATTTGTTTAGAGTTAAGAAAAGGATTTTGCATTGTTATTGCTTCAAATCTTCATTCATTAGTTAACTCTTTGACAATTGTTAATGTTAACATATAGTGCGGTTCGTCACGTAGAATGAGTAGATCATGAATCCCACTTAAATGTAACTTCTATATTGGGTTGGATTAGACCTGATGTAAATCAATAATGGTTTTAGGAATATACTGATAGCTATGTTGACTTTTTGCATGCTAGTGTTTGAGACCGTTTGCAACCAAATAAGAGTTCCTAAGCCTACTCACATCTTCCACGGACATATTACTCTAGTCCATCATAGAAAAGTACTAAATACTAGGAGGAGAGGAGAGGATCAACCGCCAATAAATCATACGAATAAAACTCTTCACCCCAATCTTGGTCATTGAGAATATAGTAATGCTTTGCTCCGCAAGATATTACTTTTACAGGTTTCACTTCTCAGGGGAGCCGCAGCTTGATCCAAGGTCTTGAATATCAGATATCGGGGAAATAACGGATGACCAAAATTCACATGGATTGTGGATACTGGAGAAATATCGGGGACATGTGAAAAATATTGGAATGCTATAACAGATGTCTGCCTGTATAGTATAATGCACTAAAATATGATCTCAACGTACTTATGAAATCTAAGCATACAAAATGTAAATAATATATGCTTAGGATCATTAATCAACCTTATAAAACAAGTCAATATTGCAACATTAGGTCTGTTTTTTAGGGCAAAATGTCATTTCATAGAATGGGAAAATCATGATATCTCGCGTAAAAATTGCTAAATACAGTATATGCTTTCGTGACAAGACATAAAAAGATACATTAGTCCACATATCAGTTGATATATGTCCATATTGGGGATATATCATCTAAAATAGCTAAAAAATGGTAAATGATACTTAGAGACCATATTGATTGTGGCAAGCCTGTAAAAGGATATGTTAGGGGATATAGAGCCATGTCGTGGATATTTAAAACAATGGTTCGATCCAACTTGAATCGAACTAGTGAAGCAAGAAAATGCTCGATGACCGAAGTTGGAGACTATGTACTAGGATGGATTCAAGACAACAATGGTATGATAGGAAAGGTGCGACCAGCCCATCAAATTGATCAATGGATGCAACGAGATATTAGAGCTGGAGATGGGATTAGAGAGATTGAAGTTATTACCATGCTTGCTGGAGCTCAGCAGGTGCATCTATAAGCTAAAGACTTCACATAGATAGGAGGGTACATGAACTTGAAAGAATGCCTCAAAAGGAGCTCTAGGAAGAGAGCGTTTCTTCGTTGAACCCATGAGGAGGAATGAGCCATGAGTGGCAGATCATTGGATGAACGGATGGAGAGTGGCGATAGTGTTGGGAGGATTGGAAAGAGCACAACTGACAATAAGACGATGAAGAAAACATAACTAGGGAGGGAGATGCGCTCAGAGATGTTATTCAGGAGAGGATCTAGGAGGTGCGACCGTGGAGGATAAACACTGGCTAGGGTTCCCGTAAAACGTAACCTGGGAGGGAGAAGCACTCGGGGATGCTCTTGAGGAGAGGATCTAGCAGGTGCGACCATGGAGGATAAACACTGGCTAGGGTTCCCGTTAGGAAATTTTGGAGACGGTGATTAGAGCTTCTATGAGAGGAGAAAAACAATCTTTTAATTTCACTCCCATAGTCGATACTCTCTTAGTCAATGATGCATTTCACTTTTTTTATAATAATACCCTCCTTTATTTTTGTTTAGCTTAATTTCACATAAATACCTATTTTTTTGGCAAACACTTGTATAGCTTAAAATGCTTAAAATGTGCACTTAAATACCTTCATCTATGCAAACACGAGAATTTCCTTCAAAAAATTCTCATGTGGGAAGATGACAAGAACAAGGTTATCATTGCGCAAAGCGGGCACAAAGTCCCTTACGCGCATATGTGCAAGGCGCAATGCTGTGCGTGCACTCAAGTAAAACAAGGTGCACACCGCTCACATAATTTTTCAGTGTAGATAATCAAGCATGATAGAGCATGTTTGTGGATTTCCACATAAACAATATGTTAAAATAAATAATATCCCCCACAAATCACAAAATAAAATCTTAATTCATTATGCTAACACGCTCATCATGATAGCAAAGTTCATAATTTTCCTAATCTAAAGTCAAATCAAGACTGATATAGAAGAATAACCAAATAGTAAACAAGAAGGAATTAGGGTCCTTAATCAGGCTACTGAGATGACCTAATGGGTTTATTCTTTATGTATATGAGTTATCAGGTATAAAGACCTGATTGAAATGTTAAACAATAAAAATATACGAGGCTATGCCTTGCGTGCGCCCTGTGTGAAGCACTCTTGCACAATACACTTGCAAGCGCAATAGGGCACTGTCGCCTTAGATGCAGGCTGCTCCACCACTGTCTCGCATCGCAGTCCGCATTAGGCGCAATGAGGTGTGTGCTTTTGATACCACCGGACGAGAAAGGAGAGCTATGTGCTCTCTTAGTCTCATTCTCCCCCCCCCTCTAATTGAAGGGTTAGAATATAGCACCCTCTTAAATGTTGGCTAGGGAGAGGTACTCGGACTAAAATCGATAGGTAGAGGGATTGAGGGAGGGAAAAGTCATGAGAGAGTGAGGGTATGACTCAGGTGCATTTACTGTGATTAGACCTCTTTGAAAGAAACGTATGATGACAAGATTGTTAGAGAGAAAGAGATCATAGATAACTAACTTGTCAAAGAGAGCTAAGTTTTACTAAATTGTCATGTCACATATCTCTTAAGGATTTAAAAATTAATGTTCTAAAAAAGGTTATGTATCCTCTTACTCGCTTGATTACTCTAATGCAGGCCGAAACCGCTTAGGTTTTAGGTAAAGTGCTCCATTATGCGGTCATCTGCATAATTGAGCACTTTTTAGTTATGCGCCGTTTGTGTAAAGCGAAAAGTGAAGCGTAGCGGTGAGGCCTCGCTCAGACTTTTTGGGGCTATAGCAGTAAAAACCGCTAAGTAAAAAAATAGTACAGTTTAAATATGTATAAATATGTCAGAGAGGACTACGAAGAGGAAGGCTTTGAGTGGAGAAAGAGGTGGAGGAGCTTCGATTGAGATGGTGATGATGAGCTTCGACTAGAGATGTTGATGTTGAACTTCGATGAGAAGCTCAAGAGAAGGTGATGTCGTGATGGTGATGATAAAAGCGGAGCTTGCTAGAGAAGCAGATTTGATGGCGAGGGGTGACGGAATTAGCTAGAGATAGTGGACAAGGCGGTGGGAGCGGGAGTTAGGGTTGGGGTTTATTTTCGGCTCGAGTCGCAGAAAGTCAGAGAGGAGAGAAGCAGAAGATTTTACTTAAGAAAATGGGTCAAGATCAGGTTTGGGCCGGTTATAATATAAACTCGTATTCATTTTTTCAAAGCATTGTTAAACACTTAAAAGAGTTTTTCAACGCTTTTATGAGAGCTTTCTGATTCCTCTTCAATCAGAAGTTGCCATGTTCACTTTCAATGGCCTCTTTCGACGAAACCGTAGTGCGAGGTGTCGCTTTCACCTTGCAGATCGCTTAAGTGACCAAAAGTTTGGCGTTTTTCACCAATGTCGCTGAATAAAAAACTTATACAGATGTTTTTTTCTTTTTAATAACTTTTAGGTAAAATCCATTGAAGTCAAATCCGAGATGGTTAACCTCTTTTAACAAAATGTTGTAGCCCTAACTCTTTCTCAAACCCGATCCCTTCACTCTCCTCTGATCATTCCGAAAATCACAACTTGTGAGTTGCTGCGACATCTTCTTCGACCCTCACCTACCATTGGCGACACTCATTAATGATCTCTGACGTTCTCCAACTCTCAGTGAAGCTATCCTACGCTCCACGAAGCTCTCCAATCAAGCCGTTTTCCCCAATTGAGCAGTCGATGATTTGTTTTGAGTTCATGAACTTTTAGTTTAGTTTAAGTGTTTAATTTAATGACTTTTAATTGCTTACCTATTTAATTTTGATTTATGGATTAAAAGTTTGAATCGTTAACTAGTTATTTATTGTTCAATTGCATGTTTGTTGGTATTTTTCTTAGTATATTTTTAATTTTTCATGAATTATATATATATATTAATATATGATGAACAATAATATGTTAGAAAAATTCAAAAATGCATAATTCCGTATAATCGATTAATCGGCGCATAATTTGATTAATCATTACTCGTTCTTGGACCGCACGCGTAATAAAACCTTGTTTTTTAACATTGTTCAAACTTGTAGAAACTTTAATGCCTTTTTTTGTTAAATTGTTATTTTGATGTTTGTCCCTCAAATATTCAATAATTCCATATGAGTCATTCAAATCTATGAAATAGCTCATTAGTCCCTCATAATACTTTGATACCCCAAAAATGCACATTTTTAACTCTCATATCCTATAGTTCCATTTTTTAACTTTGATACCCCAAAATTTACACATTTTTAACTCGCATACGACAAAGATCGTAACTTTTTTAAAACGATATAAACTTTGTGGCATCAAAGCTAAAAATGGTGTAAACTTTCTCGTAAAAAAAGTAAAATAAAACTTTGTAAAAAAATGTGTAAACTTTAAGATATCAACCTATTAAAAAAGTTTTGGGGCATTAAAGTTAAAAGGATGTACACTTTTTTGGTATCAAAGTGCAAGTTTTTGGAGCAAGATGTGTTTTAAGAGAGAAATCATAACTAAGGGGTATTATGGTAATTGAGGGACTAAATTGCAAGACCCCTAGGATTTGAGGGAATAACCAGCAATTTCGAGATTTGAGGGACTAAGGTTATATCATTTTTAACTATGATGAAAGTTTTAAGTGGTACTTTGATGCACTAAACTTTGTCTTTTTTAACTTTGGTGACTCAAACCTCGCATTCCTAAAATTGATCACATCATTTATCTCATTACTGGCAATGCTATCGATCACCAATTGTTATCAATAAGCTAGAATTGTGTGTGTATTGCATGTGTGCATGGGTGTGTGGGGTGTGGTTGGGTGGATGGGCATGGGTGGGCGTGTGAGAGAGAGGGAGAGGGAGAGGGACTCAGGGAGAGGGTCAGATTACTCAAGCTACTGATTGTAGGTTATTACAGCTTTCTATTGCTGAATTATTTTAGAATCACACTTCTTTTCCACTCTATCTGCATGTAGCCAGCCACCTTCATTAGTCAAGCCATGGTGCTGATTGCCTGGCTTAGCATCTTATCGTCACATATTGTAAGATGTGACCAGTTACTCTTTCTTATCCCTATGTACTTCTTTCCTTGGCTGAGCCGAAGCTCTATGCATTCACATTTATTTTCATATTAATTTATGCATCCCTTTTATGCTTTAGTGCAATTTTTTTTTACTCTTTATACATGCCTCTTATGCTTTAGCGCATGTCCTTCATGTTTTTTTGGCTAGGTTATCTATCTTGTAACTGTCTTTGCACGTTCTCTAGTATTTGCTGATATTCAAGCTGGTAATTCCTTGTATTTGACAGTTCTCATAGATATGTAATTGGTTCTCATCTATACATCTATTCACACCATGGGGAATCTATCACCATTCTCCTCATATTGTTGGCCCCATGTAGCAATTAAAATTTCACCTCTACTGCACTTTTGATCTGACACTTCCCGACCAAGTGCCTCAGCTTAGCATATACATTGCTCTCAGATAGTCATAGTTTATGATCTGACACTTTTGGTCTTTTAGTTACAGGAAAGTGGTTAGGTATCAAGATATGGTGGTCCATGGTTTGTTGCATCATATATTTAGATACCCAAGTATAATACTCACCTGCTGCATCATATATTTAGATACCCAAGTATAATACTCACCTGCATATTTCTTTTATTTTATATTTTTTCTGAACCATTTGAAGAGTATACATGCTCCATTATATATACACCTAGTGTGTCATTCAGTATGTGAATAAACTTCAGACTATATTTAGCATCTAGTTATCTAACATTCTTTTAGAATATATAGGTTTCAGTTAGAGAATAGAACATAATCTGCTGGTTCAAGAAGTTGGACATAGAGCTATAAGAATTGCTTACGGTGGTTCATGGTTTGTTGCCTCCACGGTTTGCTGCATCATATGCTTAGATACCCAAGTGTAATACTCCCTCATCTGCATATTTATTTTATGTTATACTTTTTCTGAGCCATTTGACGAGTATGCATGCCACATTCACGAAATGTGTCATTCAGGATGTGAATAAACTTCCGACTCGATATTTAGCATGCTAGTTATCTAACATTCTTTTAGAAATATTTAGTTTTCAGTTAGAAAATAGAACATAATCTGTTGGCTCAAGAAGTTGGACATAGAGCTATAAGATTTGCTTATGGGCATGCCTGTGTTATGCTAGAGATTTGAAACTACGAATTTGTCACTTACGTGGTTGCTGGAGGAATAAGTGTAGTAAATCATCTTGAATCTTTATGCAATTACCAGAATTTAGTGAGGACTTACTCTGCATGTACTATGTAGTTATTCATTTCATTTATAATGTGTTGCTTTGTAGGCAGGATTATTTTGTACTTGATAATATCAATTTTCTAAGACTAGCCATGCTTGTGTTTTTTCTTTTGACTGCATATCATTCCCAACTATTTTTGTGTTTAATGTAATTATTTGTGCTTGATAAGCTGCATTTGGTTGTTTATTCTGATACTAGCAATTATCCAGTTTTTCGAAACGTTGCGAGTCGGTTAATACAATTGCATCTTTTGTCTGGTGGATAATTGGATTTTACTGGGTGATCTCTGGTGGTGAAGATCTCCTGCAGGATGCTCCTAGACTCTACTGGTATGGTGACTGGCAATCTTTTTCCCATACTTCCTTTTGCACATCTGAGCGAGTATTCAATGAATCTGCATAAAACTTCTGAAATGTAGTCGTGATGTTGTATTTCTAACTTATAAGATATCATCATTACAATTTTTGCTAATTAGCAATGCTGACTTAAAAGAGATCACAATTTGTCCTTTGTATGATTGCATCAAACCACTGATGTCGTTCATAACCTTCAGAATTTAACTGTAGTTGTAACATGATTATCAATGCTGATCATAATCATTTTAAGTTTGAAACTTTCCCCCATCATATTGGGTTTTCTGTGGAACATAAGTTAAAGTTGAAGAGGGTGAGGTGGTTGTGTGTCTCTCATCAAACCGTTATAAGTCCGTGCTAAGATTGCAAGTGTCCTGATTGAAAAAATAGGTGAATTAGGTTTTCATAAAATTAAAGTCAGCAATTTCAAAATGGAAACTCATTCTCTTCATCATGCAACTCTATTTAGAATCTCTTACTGCCAAGGAGAAATTCTCCAAAATCCACCAGATTATGAAAGATAACAAGTCAGTGAAAAGTTGTCAAGTCAGTATAGCGCATTCTTTGTTCAGCCATCCTAGCATGGCTGGAACAAATTCCTCAGATAATAAATTTTGGCTCAATGAAGGACCCATGGAAGTAGTCTCACTTGATTCATGCCAAAATTTGATGTTAATGGCATAGGCTATATTCTTTAACTCCTATTGATGATATTCAAGCGGTGTCAGCGAGTGATTCACTCGTCTTTAGCAGTTTGGGTGCATGTGCTTATTTGTAATTTAAATTCTGAGGCATCTTTGAATTGAAGAAGTTGGAATCTCAGATTACTGATAGTTTAGTACTATTTCATTACTTGAGATTGAGATGTTTTCCATTGACATCCAACTTTTGTTATTTGGTTAGATGTATTTAGGATCTCAACTCACGTTTTCGAGAAAATTCTGTGATAGGAATGCACATATTTTCTGGAAAGGTTCTGCTGAGAATCTGAAATGCAATTTCTATTGTAATAGGAAATGCGAAAATACGACAAAAAGACTAGTTATTTTCTTTATGCTACTGTTTCTTATCAGCCTGACTTGTTCCCTAATGACTAACAGGTTGACTGTAGTTTTTCTGGCATTTGATGTATTCTTTGCCATCTTTTGTGTGGCGTTGGCCTGTGTGATTGGTATTGCACTTTGCTGTTGCTTGCCTTGTATTATTGCAATTCTTTATGCTGTTGCAGGCGAGGTGAGAATGAAATGTATTTGCATATAAAAAGAGATGGTACTTGTTTTTACAGATCATGTATTTCCATGTCTTTTCTAACTTGGCTTCTTCTCAACAAATAGGAAGGTGCTTCCGATGCAGATATCAGCATCCTTCCAAGATATAGATATGCTGAGCCTCGCGGCGATGGGGAAAAACTGTCAGTAGAAGGGACAATGATCCCTCTTACAAGTAACAGTGAAAGTTCATCAGACGAACGGGTTCTTTTACAGGAGGATGCGGTAAATACAACCTTCTCACTGTAATTTCTTTGTATTTCTTAGCTTAATGCAGACGATGCATTTAATTTAAGTATATATATCAAGTAGTACTAGCTATCTTGTGACCAATTTCCTGCCACAATATTACTGTAGGAATGTGAAATGTAAGGATCCCCTAATTAATTTAAATTGAAATGCTGATGGAAAGGAGGAATGAGTCACCCATGTTTTGTTCATGGAAACACTGTAGAAGATGAATTAACAGGCTAATGCAAAGAGTGGAGGACACCTATTACTGGAAGCCTCTCTGAATTAATATCTGAATTAATCAAATTCACGCTCACACACATCTTATCATCTTCCATATTGCAAAAATTACCCCTTACTGCGATCGGGATCTGTCTTAAAAAAATCAAAATCTTTTCGGCAATTTTACAACATAATTTCTCATTTTCCGTATTGCAAAAGTGGCTCTGCAGCTGTAGCTTTTCTTCAAGATACATCCCAACCATATGTGTACCTCAAAGTCTATCCTTCCCTTTGTTCTTTAATTTGAACAGTCCAGGGGTAAAATTGTCCTTACCTTCCTATTCACCTCTTGTCCTCCAAACTATGGTTTGCAACATTTCTCTGGTCCGTTACTGCAAGTCCAATTACAAATCCATGTAGACATGCTCCATTATTGATGATGCGCTATTTCTGCAGAAATTTCTTTTTTGTTATGGCATTATCCTGATAATGATGTTGCATGCTTTCAGTGTCTAGCAAATTTAGGAGGGGTTATCTCATATGTGTATTTTCCCGCAGTTGCTTGGAATTTTCTCATTTCCCAACTGGGTCCGCAATTCCATGTTCCCAATTTCCTGAACTGTACAGTTACATTAATTTCAGTAAAAGCCCAAGTGTGATTAATGTCCTTACTCTTCTCCTCGAATAATCTTTCTTCTCTCTCCCCTGACTTCAACATCTAAGCCCTCTCTCCCTAGACGCATTCTCTCTTGAAACCTTTGGTTCACTGCAATTTACCCTCAGTCAAATTATTTGGCTTAGCATATCTGTTAGTCCCATGCACGTACAAAGAATTGACCCACACAGACTTTCCCAGAGCAGAAGCCTATAAAAAAGGAATAGGGATATATCTTTGATGCGATGGGTTAGAATTTTCCACCTTAGTTCAAAAATGAATGATGTATGATTTTGTTTTTGCAATGGATTGCAACTAGAAAAGAAAGCTTCTTATTAGGATCAGATATAATTAAGGTGACAGTTGTCAACTGAAGTGAATTGGTTATATTCTTTTAATAACATTGCTTATATAGGTTAATCACTAAGTGAGGCCAATTAGGAAAATCACACCAGATATGCACACCATGTCACCACAGCAACAACAACAAAGCAGTTGTCCCCAAATTTTAATTTGGTCAGCTACATGTATTATTTTCTTCTATGCAGTTCTAACCGTCTCTCTGGTTAAACTGAGCAATCGTAGTATCATCTTTAAGTGCTTCATTGCAGCTCTCTGAGGTCTATATGTAGTCTTTTTATTCCGTTGATTTTTAACTGGAACGTTCAGTGGTCTCCAATCTCCATTGCAAGAGTGAAATATTGCAATCAGTTCTCTCATTTTTTTTCTCAAATGCAATCTATAACAATCTTATAGGTGCAATCATTCCTTATCATGTCTTTTAATGTATTTGTTCTGATCCATTTTAACATTCTCATTTTTGGTAGATTCAAATTTTAGACAAGTTTCTTAATTTCCCATCTTAGGCATAAAGCATTGCTATTCTTATAGTCATTATGTAGATTTTTGTTCCTTTCAATTTCATGGGTATCCTACAAGCACAAAAGGCTTCAGTATTTCTTCACTTCATTCAATGAAACACATGTTCCTGGAAACACATGCTCCTCAAGCTCACAATCTTAAATTCTCTCACAAGCTTGGTAACATTAAACCACTTAATATGTTTTGTTCCATTAATTTTGGATTCATTAGATTTAAGGACTTATCTCCACCTCTCGAGGGTAATATGTTCCCTAGTCTCATCAACATTATATCGTTTCCAAGTGTCACACGTTGGGGTTTCGTCATGAATATGCTTGTAAATATAAAAGCTGAAAGTTGATCCTTGATGCAAGGTTATGATAGTAGGAAATGTCAATCTCTATGATTTATTCTTCTATTCCTACACCCTAGTTGCACTATCATACATGTTCTTAACCACATTGTAAATGCTAGGTACATTTTTTTGTAAAAATGTCTCCACATTATCTCCTTAGATACCTGTCATAAGCTTTTTCTAGACCAATAAAACGATATATAAAACTCTTCTCTTCTCCAAATATCTCTTGCACATCTGCTTAGTAAATAAGCTTTATGGTTGGCCTTTCTAGTATGCAACAGAATTGGTCCTTGGATACAATTATTTCCTTTCTTATTCCTTCCTTGATTACTGCCTTCCAGGGTTTCATTGTATGCCTCATTAGTTTAATGCCAGCAGTTTGATCAATTTTGTATATTTTATTTATTCTTTATTCATTTGTATCGAAGTGTTATCCTTCACTTGTAAGCATTTTCTTAGAATCCATAATCTTATTGAATAACTTAGTTAACCATTGTAAGACCATATTTCAATCGTATATTAATATCATTAGGTCCTACAATACATTTTTTTATTTTCCGTGA